ACCTAGGGCCTCAGGCCTCATGACACCCGCCTTATAGACTTTTTGTCATAACACTTGTGATTCTAGGTTCATATAACCACCATGTCAACCCCCCTTAACCAACCCTCTCACATAGTTGTCAAAGCGTCCGCATTTCTTACTATTGCAAAAGCAATTGGCCTGAATATTCTCAATTTTTTCCGTTATCGGACCGAAGAGAGATCAAAAGTCGCAGTTGACGGTCGAAGATGGGTTTCAATCATACGTTGTCTTGTGATCCACACGTTGCCCACATGCGGAACGATAATCATTCTTTGGTTCAATTTCGCCGAATATTTTATTGGAGCCAACTACCTTCGCTCACGTACTCCGGAGACCGATGAAGTATTCTCGAATATGCTACAGGTGGCTGCTAAAGCGCAAGAACTACTTATTCTCGCCTCCTTAACTACCATGATAGCGGACTATGTGAGACACCAAGCATGCTTTGAAAATGGTGTCCCTCTGGCGGCATTAACCGCCCCTTTTTCCATAGCCTCCTTCGCCTACATATTCAGTCCAGAGTTCTGGTCGGGGGTAATAAGGATCCCATCAAAGTCTGTCACCGAGACGCTGCGAAATCTACTTTTTATGGTCTTTCTCATGGTCGCTACTATCGCTGGCGCACTAATTGGCCCCGCGGCTGCCGTTGCGCTCATACCTGAATTCAGCTGGTTTCCCGCTGGAAGCACTCAGTTTTACGTTGGGGTCCCGCCAGGTGCAGAAACTACATTGCCCTTGATTCTCGACGCAAGGCAAGTCCCTATCGACTGTTACAAGATGCCGGCGCGGCTCAATAGTCAACTATGTCCGGCAGCTGGCTATAATTCGATTAAAGGGTGGGCTCGACAAATTAGTAGTTTATACTACCGATACTCTCTCGGGGAGGAACAAAACAACCCCAGAGTCGTCAACGAAAAGTTCACTACGCAGATAATCTTTCCAGGAATAACAGGACCTGGAAACCATGACCATGAACCCCAAGCTTGTGGCCAACCTATGGTCAGGGATATGGCAGAGCTTTGGTCAGTACAGAGAGACTGGCATGAAGCCATTGAGGGCTTAGAGGGCTTTTATAAAGAACGTTATCGATATCGAGTTCGTGCCAATACAAGAGCAACATTTACCTCCGTCGCGCCTCGTACTCTCGTCAAATGTTCGTACCAAAAAGTTTTTGCAAATGCGACGGAGATCAAGTTCCCAATTCCAAATACCGCGAACGGCTGGGATTTGCCTCCCGAATACGAAAGCCTAGAGCCTTCATCAGACAAGAATCGTCTCGGGTTTCATGATGGCCTTTTATTGGGTATAAGCGAGGGTGAACCGATTGGCAATCTGTGGGCTGAATGGGCCGGGATAGGAGAAGATAAGAGTAACACTTTCCCGGGTCAGTTCAATTTCAATGATCCAGGGTGGCGTGTGCACTGGGTCGCCCGTTCACACCCTCTCGAAACTGCCGACCCGGCTGGGGCTTCAGCGCATGTCATTCTTTTCTCCCCAACAAACGATGACTTAAATTCGGGTTTCCAAGTCATCCGTGATGCTCATGTCTGCAGTATCTTGTCCCACTGGCTGCCATCCACGAGTACTATTGATGTAAATGTGGATGTCTCATTGCGCCAGTTTTCGGCATACCAGGCCATCACGCAGGAATTCCCTAAAATATCAAGAAGGTCTATTTTCGATAACGTTAACCTTCAATCCAGCCAGAACGACAAAGGAAAACAGAGCTATTTCATCAACCAAACCCCCATTCTCCTCCGCCAAGGTTGGCTGGAATTTCTAGATACAAGAGTGACCGATACTGTCCCTGGAGGGAGTGGAGATGGCGCACAGGCTCGAGTAGCTACTACCCTTGAAGAAGCTCTATACAGCATTGCAGATCCTACAATTGGCCCAAGCCTTTTAACTATACTGGCCACTCAATACCTAGTATGTGCTGTCATCAATGATGGACTATCAAGGGTTGATTTAAACCCCCACATTATCAAACGCCGTTACTCTTCTGAGAGTAAAAGAGCCCGTTTCCTTCATTTTCTACGCAACGAGACAGTCTTTCTCCCTCCTAATGTCACGGAGGGTGGTACCAGTGTCGAAAGTTATCCTGTCAAAGTGGATTTCATTGTACAAGGTTACGGCTACAAAGCCACATCAAAAACATCACGGTGGGCATTGGCCCTCCTCAGTAGCCATCTTGCGCTGGTAGTTTTACATATCTGCTGGTCTATTTCCGTTAATCGTTCCTACCGAGCGTGGGATTCGCTTTCTGAGTATTTAGTACTAGCCTTAAACTCGGAACGAGCTGGGCACATAGGCAAGGCCTGCGCCGGGATAGACAGGTTGAGTACGCTAAGTGAGACAGTTATGATTCGTGAGATTGACCATAATAGGATTGAATTGATATTCGAGAAGGATATCCAATTGAGGGTTAATGCGCCGTCGACCCCAGGGCTCAATTATAATAGCCCACCCGTAACCATTGAAAAAGTTTGTACCGATGCCAAATACCCACGACCTTGACAAATGTAGCTAACCCGACCGCGAAAACTCCTCCGTTTTGTAACATAAACATATCATAAATTCCATAAGACAAACAAGCTTACAAATAATATGCTCAGCCGACCATGATTATGTAATATAATATAATGAGCCCGGTGCCACCCCGCTATTTACTCTCCGATACCAGATACGCATTCCGATTCCCATAGGACTTGGGTGGCCCAGCGCTGCTAATTATTGCGGCCCTGATTGGCTCAGTCTTGGATCAAAGAGTGGTAATTTAGCGGGTGGAATATGTATGATTTGCCGTGCTGTATTGTAACGAGGCATCAAAGATCTACCCGGCACCGACGCTGTATATATATGATTGATGTTTGGACCCCAGCGTACCCTAAGAACTTTATAAACCTAACAATGTGTGATACATCAATATATTTTAAGCAACTAGAAATCGTTGGAACGGGGGCCTTTTAGTACTCGTATGTCAGCTTGAGCTCTGCACCCTGGTCATGTCATCCTTAATTCATTTCGTTCCTTAATTCTACATACAAGTAGCAGAGGTGTTTAATTCCTGCTCTTTGTTCTCCCCTTCCCTTCATTCCACCCCTAATCCCAAGTGCACAAGGGACTTAATTAGTTTATTCCTCCAAGCATACTTTTAACTTGCATTGTCGCTGACGCATTTAGAAATTTGTTGTGGCATGTTAGATTCCAGAAAGAGCCTGAACACAATATATGTACAAAAGGGTCCTCGTGCCAAGGCCGCTAAGACGTGATGAGTATAAAACCCCAGGGCCCTGGTTCCCCCCCAGGGCCCTGGTTCCCCCCCAGGGTGTTCAAATGTTAGAAAAACCATGAAGTTACGCGTGGAAGTGAAGGTTTATCCTGATGCTAGGAAGTGAAGGTTTGCATGTTATCGAAAACCCTGCCCATGTACACAATACATAGGAGATGACATGTTGACTACCTAATTATTGTGCCGGAAAGATACACTTCTTCAATCCCATCATAATGTGGAAATATTTTTGTGTAATGCTATATCAATGCTGGATTGATCCCGTACCTATCCCGCTCTGATTTGATTTCCAGCACGGTAGAGGTGGTCCAGATCCCCACCAGTGAATCTGGCAAGAGGCTTCGCAAATCCTGTGGCTAGTAAGACTTAGACTTACCTATTTGAGTGCTTAGCTAGGCAAGTAACTCATTTGTCTAAATCCTTGATACTTCATACAGCGTTGAGACTGGCAGATCTTCGACTGTGCTCCAGGGGATTAAATGAAACCTCCGAGAAGTCACAGCCGTAAAAGTACACACACATTTGTCGACAACAGTTTCGACTCAAGTTTGCACTAAAACATTTGTCATTTAGAACACAACACAACACAAAAGTATTCAGGTTACGAGACTGTGGCATATCATAGTTTCGTAAACAGTTTAACATAACGAGACCATCATAGCCCCATAAAAAGTAATACGAGATCGGAATTCCTCAGAACAGGAGCTAAATCAGGATCCCAGTCTAGGTGGTCAGAATCCTCAAAATTAGACTTACAACTAGGTTGCTTCGGGAAGCCAAAAGTTAAAGGAACAAAAAACAAAAAGAAATGCGGTGAGGGTGGATCGAACACCCGACCTTCAGATTTCGAACCGAAGTTTGTCTTCAGTCTGACGCTCTCCCAGCTGAGCTATCCCCGCTTGATGTTTCTCTTCTCAAAAGCTACAATTTTAAAGATTTCTCAAAATGATCGACCAAGGTGCCATAGTTATGGAGCGAGACGAGGGCAGATATTGTCATGTGGGCCTGCAGACAAATGTAGAAGCAAGTTTTCAAGATCAATAGGGAAGTTGTTGCTCCCTGTTGTCCAAATTTGGTGTTAAACTTGGCCATCAGGCATCACAACGAGTCTTTGCCAAGCATACCAAAAATGTCCTTACGACATAAGCCGTCAAAATACTATTGGGCCAATTGGGCTATAATTGAAGTTAAAACTATAAACGTAATCAACCGGTAGACTTGTAGGTCGTGAACTGAGAAGCCACATCCTTTAGCATGCAGCGCTGCACAGAGATATCTGCACAACGCAGACTAGCAATTAGCTCGACATCACAAGAGCACAAGAAATTTGGACATGATATAGTGGTCGTATGATGTTAAATCTCTACTACCCCTAGATATATACAGTTAAGCACTTGAGTATATACATTGAGTATTTAACTCTGTAAACTTTTTTGTTCTCTAAAGCAGTCGAATTATATAAGCCCGCAGTTCCCATCGCAAGCCGACGCATGTTGCATGTTGTATTTTACTTAAGCGAAAAAAAATTTTGCACTAAGATATCTGATAGAATTTCTCCACGACTAGAGTTTCACAAGGGATTCTTGATAACCCTGGACCATACGAGACTAGGGCTAATTGAATTCCCGAGACCACCAACTTCTAAAAGAGGGAAATAAAAAAAATAAGAGATCAAAACAAAAAGATATGCGGTGAGGGTGGATCGAACACCCGACCTTCAGATTTCGAACCGAAGTTTGTCTTCAGTCTGACGCTCTCCCAGCTGAGCTATCCCCGCTGATGATGTCGAGACGATTCAAATTTGCAATTGTCAGGCAAGCTTCTCCTCCAGGTCTCGTCAACGTACCTGTATTCGAATTCTCGAAGCGAAAGAGACAACGACACTGGCTACTAGATTTCGATCTAAAGTAGCAAAATCACTAGAAAGGTATATTGAGGAAAAAATCACAGGATTAAATATATCAACGAAAAACTGGGAATGACTGAACTAACCAAGTGGGTCGAAAGGCGTGGATGTAGGGCTCACCTTATGCCTTAAAGTCCACAATGTGCTACCAGCCCTTTCTGGGATAAGCGTAGTACTACTATTAATCTTCTGGAAAGTAAGAGCTTCTTTGGGGATTTTAGTTGCGGTGATGACCGAAACTCGCATGCTGAACCACCTTTCTGGATTACGAGGGTTTAAAGTTCTGCTATAACCATGCAGACCAGAGACAATTTCCGTAAAGCGCTCGATGTGAAGACCGTTTCTTTTTGAAATAAATATCGCGCCACCTGCTAAGGTCTCGAGGATCGACCAGAAAGCGATGGCTATGATAGTTAGATATATATACAGTCGCCTTACCGAGTACTACTTTGGAGACCAAGCAGGTGCCAAGTTGTAGGCGCCACCTTGCCGAGCGCGCACATTTGAACATGTCCGGACAGCCATGTGGACAGGTTTACAACTACACAGGAAAATATTTCCGAAACCAATATACCCTTAGGCTTACGAAGGGTTCATCAGTTGGCTATCAACGTGATCAGCGGAGTAGATGTAAGTAATCGTGCACGTGGAGACTTTGAAAATCAGACACTAGAGGCCAAGGCGTCATCCGCTAGCTCGTATCATTATCACTAAATGCGTTACAGTTTCAAAATAGGTGGATAGTATATACATATACCGTACAGAGTTTTGGCTGGTTTCTCAAAATAGTTCTAGAGAAAGGGGAACTTAAAACAGTAAAATAATAATTTAAATAAAACGTTTTAATATTCTGAAGCAGTCCCAGACAAGTATCCAAAATCTCACGGTATTTTAAGGTAATGGGGAGGGAGGAATTGTGGATACTCAACAGAAGGAAGATATAGGCTAGAATAAGGAGATAAGTTTGAGATCTTTAGGATTTCGTGTCAATTTATATAACTGAGGTACTTGATATGCACCCGTTTTCCCAAGGCCAAGGGGGAACTGTATCCAACGAGACCACGTTTATCCAGTTAAATGTGTTGTTTTATTCTACCTCATGAAGAGTTTATAGTCTTGGCCCACACGTCACGAGACCAGCCCACACAATATTTCGACTTTGTGTTGTCTGTTTACCAACGAGACCAGTCTTGGCAATAGTTTATGACAACACCCGCCTGGCTCCTGTCAAAAATAAATTTACGAGACCGGAGTTTATAATTTGGAAGATAATACTTCGTGATGATCAAAGATTGATGCTGCTGCTTAAGTACAGTATCAAAACAATGGTTTTTTTGAGTATTGTTCTCATCTAAATATATGAAGATATTGTGGCTGTAATACGGTATTATACATTAATAACACTAGCTAGTCTCGTGAATTAATACTGTATTGTAAATGATAATACTGTTATTCCATAACCTCAATTCGAGCTGAAGTATATACCGCACTAATGCAAATGCCGTAGTAATTCCAGGAAATTTCTAGCATCGTACCTATTAAGCAAGGCAAAAGTCTTCAATACCGAGACTGTACCATTTAAAACTGAGAAAGAAAAAGGTCATGATGTACATGACGATCGGATCATTTCCATTATATAGAAGAAAAGGGTGTGTTTGCTGGGCTGTCTATCAAACACAAATCGGTCTTAAGCTAGGAAAATACTACGAACTGTTCGTACGTGGTGTCGCTTTCACCAATAGTTCCGTAGAACAGGCGGTCGATAATCCAAATACAGTTCTGAGCTTGGGCTACCAGCTTGATAACCTTACACTCAGACTTAATACCTGACGATGGCCGATTTTTCGAGGCCGTTTCTTTCTAAGAAAGGCAACCATAATCAACACATTTTTAAGTCATTATGGGTTGAACATGTGTATGCGCATATGTATATACATGTAGGAATTCTCAAGAAGGTCACAACGTCGAAAATTCCGCCATAACCAAGGTGTATTAACAACGGTCGTTTTGGTATAGTGTATAGATACCATATTTCATAATCTTACGCTTCTGGATCTCATCCCACTTGAGTCTCTAGCTTGACTCAATTGATTCTTGCAGGCCGGGACTTGAACTGGAAACCAATATTACATGCACGAGGATGCAACTACAACTTTCTTGTTGCACAACTGCATGACACGTAGCAACAGCATCCTCGGCTATATATGTCAATATGTACTATTACATATGCATCATATTATAGGCTTGATAAAATATCATCTATACTCCCCCCACTTCCCCAGCCGTCCAAGTTCCAGGCATCCGGTATGTTCCAGCTAACCGACCCCCGCCGACCAGCACCTTCGCCGAAAATAAATCGCCTAATTAGAGATTTTGCGGGGCAATTTCTCCCCGCATCTCGTCCCGCGTTAGGACTAGGATTTCCCAGTTTCAAGTATATGGATTTAAATTTCGACGCCCAACGAGGGTTCTCAGACTTGAAATTAGCTGACTTCTAGAAAGATGCTGGAACCAGCCAACCAAATCCACTCAGTAACAACATGCATTTCAAACACAGTGTGAAAAGCATGTAAGGAATGTAACTAGAATAACGAGAATACCAAAAATGAGATACTAGAGGACTTATATCGATACATTACACCACAGCATCTCGTAAATGATATCGAGTACCAATAACTGCAGGTCAATATTGTCCAATAGAGCATAAACCAACTTGCCGACCATACTAACCGCACAAAATCTTTTCGGGGAGGGTGCAGTAGCCAAACCAAACCTAATACCACCGATGCAATAAGAGGCGGATTATTTGCCAAGTGGTTAATACCTAGAATTATACCCCCTGATTATCCGGTTCGTCGTGCAATCAGCAGTTCGGCATCTCAATCTTGGGACTACCCCTCCTCTTAAGATCTTCTGATTGTGCAACATGCCCCACTTCTGCATGGGGGCTGCAGGGCACCAAATTCAAATATTATGTATACTTCGCGAAATCTACTTTTGAATAGTGTTCGGTACTATTTGATATCATAAAGCAGCCTTCATCTACATTTGATGGAATGTTAGAGTGTCAACGAATGCTTTAAGTTGTATAGTAAATGGATATATCTCGAGCTTAAAATATCCCTTAGCCTAGTTCAAAACAGCGGTGGAGAGACATTATGGTCCAAAAAGTACTTATTTTACATACATCTAATTCTGGTGGTACCACGTAGGAAATATCCTAAACCACGCCAATTACTATCTTTCACAACGGGGAAATGGACCCAAAGCTAGGTTACGTAAAATTAGTTATTCCACGGACCGATATGCACTACAGAACCGCTAGCTATCCAATGACATCCCGTGTCCCGTGCATTATCATTGCACCACCGCATCAGCGAAGGCATGGCGGTAGCTGGTCCATACCGCCTTTCTACCCAAAGCCAACCGAATGTGAGATCACAAGTTATGAGATGCAATATCCCGGCCTGTCTAGTTACCGAATATATCTATTCATAATTTAGCTCATGGACCGTCCATCGGCAAAGGACCGAGAAATGGGCTGAAGCTTCCGCCGATAGACAATTCGTTGATTTCGTTCTAATACGCTGCTAAACATGGCCTTTTGAGATTATTTAAGAACTGCCACAAGTTGTAGATCCTGACTTGTTACTCTCCCACGAAAACACCAAGCGATAGCCATATACGCGCTCACGTTCTGCACAACTTTGATTTGCGAATGTGATCTCACATTTTGCAAATTTAAATCATAACCACTTAGAACTACCTAAAGCCAACGGATTTAGTTGATTGAATTTTAATCAATACTAAATCCCAGCTCCTATATACCAATCCTACTAAATTTTGTTGGAGAGGAGCCAAATTTTACCACCTCAATATGGAAGATGACGCGGGCGGGCCTCAAACGGCCCTGATTCCAGGACATGGTCCAGTTGTCCATAAAAGGGAGAGGAAAAATATCCTCCGTTTGGATCTCGAAGAATCAGATAAGCTCATCAGGGCATGGATAGGCATCCAAGAAAAATCTAGACAAAATCCAGATGACCCAGATGGGTTCTTCGTGATTGCCGGCTATCACGGACAACCATTTAGGGGGGCTGGCTATGGTAACAAAGACTGGTGGGGGGGCTACTGCCATCACGGTAACGTTCTCTTCCCGACGTGGCATCGAGCCTATCTCTTGTGTCTTGAAGAAGCTCTTGGGAAAATTGAAGGCTGTGAGGGCATCGCCCTGCCGTACTGGGACGAGATGAATGGAGTTCCAGAACACGAGGAAATAGTCGTCCCCAAGATCTTCACCGATAAAAAGTATCGGTTCATTAATGGTGAGGAAGTCGATAATCCAATTTATTCTTACAAGCTCGCCCAAGGATTCAAAGATAATCTTTCGAGGCCTGGTGTGGATTACGGCAAGCCTAGTGACTACGAGACCGTTCGATACCCATTTTCTGGGCTGCAAACCTCCCAGGCGCGGGCTCATAACGATATCATGGCAACGATGACGGATGACGAACTCACTAAATTGCTTAATAAGAATGTTAAAAATTGGTTTGTGGATCATAAGGCGAGCAAGGCCAAGGGATCAGCCAACGGCACACGGACAGATTACAGGCAGTGTCTTGAAGCCCCGAACTATACTGTCTTTTCAAATACTACTTCTGCTGGCAAGTGGAACGATGTTCATGCGGAAAATGAGCCGCTAGTTGTCCCTCTAGAACGCCCCCACAATAAAACACATCTTGCTGTTGGCGGGTATGATATGCCTGACTGGAACACCGGTACCGGGGCGAATGGCGATATGGGCGAAAATGATACCGCTGCTTTCGATCCAATTTTCTTTTTCCACCATTGTTTTGTCGACCGGGTGTTCT